TCCAGGTGAGTCTCTCGAAAGAACCAAATTAGTTTGCAAATGAGTGTATATTCACTAAGGACGCGTTCTTCTTAGTGACATTCTGTTTGGGATTCACTATCTTGCAAAACTTTCTTTTTTGTTTTGAATTGTTCTTTAGTTTAGGCTGTTACCTTGCAGGGATGTGGGAGTGGCACGCTTATGTTCTTATGTTTTCAGTGAACGTAATCAATGTGGACGATGATCAAATAAACCAGGGGAACTCAAAATATTGGTTAGATGGACCCCTTGGACGAGTAAGTCATGCTCAACCAACACTGATCGGCAAAGCTTACTTGGTATTCCCGGTTAGCGGTATTAGTTGGCTTAATTGTCCTATTCCAAAGCTTGGCCCTGGCGAACCATTCGGTATGTGAGAACTAGATTGATCAGTCTACAAAACTAACGTTTCTGTGCATAGCTATATGACGGGCATCGTTTGGACGTCGCGGTTAAACTGCATTACAACCTCGCAAAGACAGACTGCTGCGATTGAATGGCCGCATTAGGGAGAACATCGTAACGCAGAGCTATTAAATGGGGGTAGTACTGTCTAACGAACTGATAATAATCTGTGAAGTGGAAAGGAATACATCTTCAGCAAGACAAGTGGTTCTGATTTCCACACCTCAAATTTCAAGTTCTAATTAAGGAGCTTATGGAGATTTCGCGCACTATATGAGCCAGCTACTCGAGACAATGCAACCAACAAATGTATCTTTCATTCTAGTTCGGAAAAAGTGACTGGTTAAACCGCCTTTAGGCTGGTTTAACACTTCCATCTCTAGTCAACAATTGTTTGTCGATTGTTATGTCTCACAAACCAGGAAGAGATACGTCTAAAATATGTATAAAAGGCCTTGCTGAATGGACTTAGGAGATTTTTAAATTTCCAGGCGCTACATTTTGATTGTTCTTGTTGATTTATGTCCAACAACCAGGTAGTGAATTTAGTTGGTCCCTATGAGAGGACTTTCGTCATCTGAGAGAACCTTTTGAGTACCTACTGTACGAACAACAAATACCTTTTAGTGCACACAAAACTTAAAAACCGGATTTGATTTGGCACATTACTAGAGTGTGAACAACAGATAAAATCGAAACCCGAGCCCAGTGCCTTTTCACTTTTAATGACCACTCCCCAGAGAAAATACGCCATGTCAGAAGGAGCACGGTTCGCACGGAAGTGATGAGTCTATCCAAATGAAGGCACACATTTCCGATCGTAAATGGTGGCAAGAGGTCTGTTTGGGCTGATTCATTTCCCAAAAAATTATATTACCCTCTGAACACTGCTCGTACATGGAAAAGAGTTTGGTATGCACTTAAAATTTTTTCGGCCACGAACAGAT